TGTTTTATATTTTTATCCGATAGAGAATTTTCCAATCTTTCATAATCAGCAATTCGTTGGTTGATATCGCGTTTAGTTTAAGAGATATGAATTTTTAAAAATCGTCGAAAAAAAGTATCAAGCACCCCCCCTTGGCAATTTTTCTTAAGAATTAAAATTTCATCTCCCAGATTTCCGTTTTAACTATCATATCTTATAGAGATAAGTCCGTAGATTAAGACGCTGCGATCAGATCTTAATTATCTCTTTTAGTTTACGAGATATTCGCGATTAAAGAAAATTGGCAAAAATTGAAAAATGTCACTTTTTAGCACTTTCAGTCGCGTTTTTCGGCCTGTTACTGTAGGAAATATAATTGTTTTATATTTTTATAGGATAGAGAATTTTCCAATCTTTCATAATCGGCAATTCGTGGGTTGCCATCTCTTTTAGTTTAAGAGATATGAATTTTTAAAAATCGTCGAAAAAAAGTATCAAGCACCCCCTTGGCAATTTTTCTTAAGAATTAAAATTTCATCTCCCAGATTTCCGTTTTAACTATCATATCTTATAGAGATAAGTCCGTAGATTAAGACGCTGCGATCAGATCTTAATTATCTCTTTTAGTTTACGAGATATTCGCGATTAAAGAAAATTGGCAAAAATTGAAAAATGTCACTTTTTAGCACTTTTAGTCGCGTTTTTCGGCCTTTTACTGTAGGAAATATAATTGTTTTATATTTTTATAGGATAGAGAATTTTCCAATCTTTCATAATCGGCAATTCGTTGGTTGCCATCTCGTTTAGTTTAAGAGATATGAATTTTTAAAAATCGTCGAAAAAAGTATCAAGCACCCCCTTGGCAATTTTTCTTAAGAATTAAAATTTCATCTCCCAGATTTCCGTTTTAACTATCATATCTTATAGAGATAAGTCCGTAGATTAAGACGCTGCGATCAGATCTTAATTATCTCTTTTAGTTTACGAGATATTCGCGATTAAAGAAAATTGGCAAAAATTGAAAATGTCACTTTTAGCACTTTTAGTCGCGTTTTTCGGCCTTTTACTGTAGGAAATATAATTGTTTTATATTTTTATAGGATAGAGAATTTTCCAATCTTTCATAATCGGCAATTCGTTGGTTGCCATCTCTTTTAGTTTAAGAGATATGAATTTTTAAAATCGTCGAAAAAAGTATCAAGCACCCCTTGGCAATTTTTTCTTAAGAATTAAAATTTCATCTCCCAGATTTCCGTTTTAACTATCATATCTTATAGAGATAAGTCCGTAGATTAAGACGCTGCGATCAGATCTTAATTATCTCTTTTAGTTTACGAGATATTCGCGATTAAAGAAAATTGGCAAAAATTGAAAAATGTCACTTTTAGCACTTTTAGTCGCGTTTTTCGGCCTTTTACTGTAGGAAATATAATTGTTTTATATTTTTATAGGATAGAGAATTTTCCAATCTTTCATAATCGGCAATTCGTTGGTTGATATCGCGTTTAGTTTAAGAGATATGAATTTTTAAAAATCGTCGAAAAAAGTATCAAGCACCCCCTTGGCAATTTTTCTTAAGAATTAAAATTTCATCTCCCAGATTTCCGTTTTAACTATCATATCTTATAGAGATAAGTCCGTAGATTAAGACGCTGCGATCAGATCTTAATTATCTCTTTTAGTTTACGAGATATTCGCGATTAAAGAAAATTGGCAAAAATTGAAAAATGTCACTTTTAGCACTTTTAGTCGCGTTTTCGGCCTTTTACTGTAGGAAATATAATTGTTTTATATTTTTATCCGATAGAGAATTTTCCAATCTTTCATAATCAGCAATTCGTTGGTTGATATCGCGTTTAGTTTAAGAGATATGAATTTTTAAAATCGTCGAAAAAAGTATCAAGCACCCCCTTGGCAATTTTTTCTTAAGAATTAAAATTTCATCTCCCAGATTTCCGTTTTAACTATCATATCTTATAGAGATAAGTCCGTAGATTAAGACGCTGCGATCAGATCTTAATTATCTCTTTTAGTTTACGAGATATTCGCGATTAAAGAAAATTGGCAAAAATTGAAAAATGTCACTTTTTAGCACTTTTAGTCGCGTTTTTCGGCCTTTTACTGTAGGAAATATAATTGTTTTATATTTTTATAGGATAGAGAATTTTCCAATCTTTCATAATCGGCAATTCGTTGGTTGATATCGCGTTTAGTTTAAGAGATATGAATTTTTAAAAATCGTCGAAAAAAGTATCAAGCACCCCCTTGGCAATTTTTCTTAAGAATTAAAATTTCATCTCCCAGATTTCCGTTTTAACTATCATATCTTATAGAGATAAGTCCGTAGATTAAGACGCTGCGATCAGATCTTAATTATCTCTTTTAGTTTACGAGATATTCGCGATTAAAGAAAATTGGCAAAAATTGAAAAATGTCACTTTTTAGCACTTTCAGTCGCGTTTTTCGGCCTTTTACTGTAGGAAATATAATTGTTTTATATTTTTATAGGATAGAGAATTTTCCAATCTTTCATAATCGGCAATTCGTTGGTTGCCATCTCTTTTAGTTTAAGAGATATGAATTTTAAAAATCGTCGAAAAAAGTATCAAGCACCCCCTTGGCAATTTTTTCTTAAGAATTAAAATTTCATCTCCCAGATTTCCGTTTTAACTATCATATCTTATAGAGATAAGTCCGTAGATTAAGACGCTGCGATCAGATCTTAATTATCTCTTTTAGTTTACGAGATATTCGCGATTAAAGAAAATTGGCAAAAATTGAAAAATGTCACTTTTTAGCACTTTCAGTCGCGTTTTTCGGCCTTTTACTGTAGGAAATATAATTGTTTTATATTTTTATAGGATAGAGAATTTTCCAATCTTTCATAATCGGCAATTCGTTGGTTGCCATCTCCTTTAGTTTAAGAGATATGAATTTTTAAAAATCGTCGAAAAAAAGTATCAAGCACCCCCCCTTGGCAATTTTTTCTTAAGAATTAAAATTTCATCTCCCAGATTTCCGTTTTAACTATCATATCTTATAGAGATAAGTCCGTAGATTAAGACGCTGCGATCAGATCTTAATTATCTCTTTTAGTTTACGAGATATTCGCGATTAAAGAAAATTGGCAAAATTGAAAAATGTCACTTTTAGCACTTTTAGTCGCGTTTTTCGGCCTTTTACTGTAGGAAATATAATTGTTTTATATTTTTATAGGATAGAGAATTTTCCAATCTTTCATAATCAGTAATTCGTTGGTTGATATCGCGTTTAGTTTAAGAGATATGAATTTTTAAAAATCGTCGAAAAAAAGTATCAAGCACCCCCCCTTGGCAATTTTTTCTTAAGAATTAAAATTTCATCTCCCAGATTTCCGTTTTAACTATCATATCTTATAGAGATAAGTCCGTAGATTAAGACGCTGCGATCAGATCTTAATTATCTCTTTTAGTTTACGAGATATTCGCGATTAAAGAAAATTGGCAAAAATTGAAAAATGTCACTTTTTAGCACTTTCAGTCGCGTTTTTCGGCCTTTTACTGTAGGAAATATAATTGTTTTATATTTTTATCTGATTGAGAATTTTCCAATCTTTCATAATCAGCAATTCGTTGGTTGATATCGCGTTTAGTTTAAGAGATATGAATTTTTAAAAATCGTCGAAAAAAAGTATCAAGCACCCCCTTGGCAATTTTTCTTAAGACTTAAAATTTCATCTCCCAGATTTCCGTTTTAACTATCATATCTTATAGAGATAAGTCCGTAGATTAAGACGCTGCGATCAGATCTTAATTATCTCTTTTAGTTTACGAGATATTCGCGATTAAAGAAAATTGGCAAAAATTGAAAATGTCACTTTTAGCACTTTTAGTCGCGTTTTTCGGCCTTTACTGTAGGAAATATAATTGTTTTATATTTTTATAGGATAGAGAATTTTCCAATCTTTCATAATCGGTAATTCGTTGGTTGATATCGCGTTTAGTTTAAGAGATATGAATTTTTAAAAATCGTCGAAAAAGTATCAAGCACCCCCTTGGCAATTTTTTCTTAAGACTTAAAATTTCATCTCCCAGATTTCCGTTTTAACTATCATATCTTATAGAGATAAGTCCGTAGATTAAGACGCTGCGATCAGATCTTAATTATCTCTTTTAGTTTACGAGATATTCGCGATTAAAGAAAATTGGCAAAAATTGAAAAATATCGCTTTTGAGTACTTTTAGTCGCGTTTTTCAACCTTTTCCTGTAGGATCACAACATCTTGTGCTCATATGATACTTAAGAGTTCCTTACTAACTTATGCATCAGCCCGACCCTCTCAAACTTTTACAAGTGTTATAAAATTGGCTTACAAACGGACATTATTTTTACATTTCAAAAAGTTGGCTTAGATAACAACCTGTTTCTCGTGAACTAATACACATTTTCTGCATTTCTATGTTATTGTTTCAGAGACGCTCTACATGTTAATTGACAATTAATAGTCTAAATTTCATCACTAGGATGCACTAAGTATCATAAAATCGAGTTATACGGCTTATTTTTATATTTATGGACAATCGTGGGTACGAGAATAGTTTTGTACACAATGCTGTTATCTGCGATTCGGTGTAAACAACGTTTTCAACGCATGTGTCTCGCGCGTTGTCTCCAAGCGCCGCATCAACTTGCTGCATGCAGCGAAGTCTTGTGTACTCGTAGTTTAGATCACAGGTAATGTGCCTATTGCAAATTCGCACACAGAGTCGCGTGCCTTCGACGCGCCGTCTTTGCGCACCTCTTACTTTCTTATCATATACTGTCCCGTCGTTGTTTACACAGTTTCGGCATGCACTATTGGTGGATTGCAGCCAGTTTCGTGCCGGTCACTGGTTAATCCAGTCGTGTTTTGAGAGACTTATATCGTTTATTCGGACTTCAATATTCTAAATTTGTGTAATACTCGAAGATCGACTATACACAGATTGTATATTTTGTGTTGATTGTTAATTATAACATAATTAATTAATGTTTTCGTTTAGTTACAGCACTCGTTGTTCCTGGCAGTCCGATAAGCTGAACACTGGTAAGTTTATAATTCAATCATATTTTTCGGTCAAATTTGCATTTGCTGTTTATAAACAAGTTTTCTGTTTATCACGTACTACCTACCTGCTGGGCCGGTGAGAGGGGGGGTCAACTGGGATAAATTCCCGCGGCCCGACTAATCGCTCTGAAATCGCAAACACAAAAAAATTAGCGAAAAATTAACGATTGCCGGGGTCCGCACTGGCTCTCGACGGTCCTGTCTGTATAACCATGTATTGAAATTTATTGTGTGTGTTTTCCCAGATACAAAATTTAATTCTTAGTCACCCTGTATTTGAATTTATTGCGAAATAATTTCGTAGCGCGAGTTTTATTAGAAGTTGTGTGTTTGCGCCGTAGTACGCATCGCCCTAGGAATTGTATTTTTTTAGTACAACACGCGAACACGGTGTTACAATATGTTCGGAATAATTTTCACAGATGCAGAATTTAATTCTGTATCTCCCTGTATTGAAATTTATTGCAAGAAAATTCTGTAACTCGAGTTATATTGAAAGTTGTGTGTGTGCGCCGTAGTACTAGTTGCACTAGAACTGGTCGTTTTTAGCATAACACGCGAACGCGGTGTCACAATTAGTAGAAAATATTTTTTCTAAATGGGGAATTTAATTCTGTATCTCCCTGTATTGAAATTTACTGCGAGAAAATTCCGTAACGCGAGTTATATTCAAAGTTGTGAGTGTGCGCAGTAGTACTCGTTGCGCTAGTAATTGTAGTTATTTGTTATAACACACGAACGCGGTGTCACAATAAGTTTGAAATTACTTTCCTTAATGCGGATTTAATTCTGTATCACCCTGTATTGAAATATATTGCAAGAAAATTCCGTAACGGGAGTTATATTCAAAGTTGTGTGTGTGTGCGCCGTAGAACTCGTTGCGCTAGGAATTGTAGTTTTTTTGTTATAACACACGAACGCGGTGTCACAATAAGTTCGAAATCATTTTCCCTGATGCGGAATTTAATTCTGAATCTCCTTGTATCGAAATTTATTGCAAGAAAATTCCGTAACGCGAGTTAGATTGAAAGTTGTGTGTGTGCAGTGTGCACTATAGTACTCGTTGCGAAGGAATTGTAAGAATTGTAGTTTTTTAGCATAATACGCGATCGCGGTGTCAGAGTAAGTTCGGAATAATTTTCCCAGATGTAGAATTTTTTCTATATCTCCCGGTGTTGAAATTTGTTGCATGAAAATTCCGTAACGCGAGTTATATCGAAATTTGTGTGTGTGCACCGTGGCACTCGATGGTCTAGAAATTGTAGTTTTTAGTACAACACGCGAACGCGGTGCTACAATATGTTCGGAATAATTTTTCCAGATGCAGAATTTAATTCTGTATCGCCCTGTATTAAAATTTATTGCAAAAATTCCGTAACTCGAGTTATATTGAAAGTTGCGTGTGTGCGCAGTAGTACTGGTTGCACTAGAAATGGTCGTTTTAGCATAACATGCAAACGCGATGTCACAATAAGTTCGGAATAATTTTCCCAGATGCAGAATTTAATTCTGTTTCTTCTTGTATCGAAATTTATTGCAAGAAAATTCCGTAACGCGAGTTATATTGAAAGTTGTGTGTATACGCACTAGTACTCGTTGCGCTAGGAAATGTAGTTTGTTTGTTATAACTCGCGAACGCGGTGTTACAATTAGTTCGAAATAATTTTCCTAGATGGTGAATTTAATTCTGTATCTCCCTGTATAGAAATTTATTGCAAGAAAATTCCGTAACGCGAGTTATATTGAAAGTTGTGTGTGTGCGCCGTAGTACTCGTTGCGCTAGGAAATGTAGTTTGTTTGTTATAACTCGCGAACGCGGTGTTACAATTAGTTCGAAATAATTTTCCTAGATGGTGAATTTAATTCTGTATCCCCCTGTATAGAAACTTATTGCAAGAAAATTCCGTAACGCGAGTTATATTGAAAGTTGTGTGTGTGCGCCGTAGTACTCGTTGCGCTAGGAATTGTAGTTTTATTACGCAGCTTTAAATTTGAACATCACGACTAATATAGGTTTGTTTCTAGGAGTCTCTACTACCGCCTTCGTACGGTGCCCTAAATGGGACTCTTTATGGATCCTGTAAGAATAATTAATTTAATTTATGTATATATGTATATTTCATTTATATAAATATTTTCCAGTTGTTGGATAAAGTATTCGCTAATTCCGAGATGGCCAAGTTTTTCAATAAGGACCAACTGGAGAGGTTTCGTGGTACTGTTGGAGTGCGTATTGAAGATGATGTTTTGATTATTGAAGATGGATGGACTAAAATACCCAGAACGTATGTTATATTTTGGCAATCTATAATATTTTATATTTTACTATTCTGTTATTCTGGTTTATAGTGTCTAAGAAATTGAAGATTGGATTGCCGGTGTTGATGATGATTTCAAATACGATAGAATGAATTTACAACATTTTGAAGCTGATATTGATATCATATTATGTATCTAGTTAAAAGGTATAAAAGAGCATTATATAATTGCATATTATTATCCTGTTTTCATGCATGTATTGTTAAAAATGCTGTATCTATTGAGAAATTGAGTTTGTGATTCTACATGTTTGAATAAAATTGTTGTTTTATATTTTTGACTATAATATTTTATTATTTTATTTGTTCCAAACGGGCAACATAGCTCGCAACATCGTTACTCCTTTAATTTATCCATAAATCCCTTAAACTTTAATGGAAATGCCACTGCTAGATATGAGAAATAGTTCAAAATCAATTTTATATTTTATCAATATTAATTTAAAAACAGTATCACTAGTGCCATCTATCCATGAGTAACTAAACTACGTCGCTATTCGAAATGACCTGCTACTCACCAGCCTACTGCACTTTCTGCGATCCTAATATTCAAATGATTTTTGTTACCAATTTCAATGGATTTCTCGACAAAATTTGTCGAGAAATTTGCTGAAATGTTGCTGCTCATCAGTCTGTAGTATTAGGAACGCAGAAAGTGGACATAGGCAGTTCCCGCCAAATTATTATATATATTATTTCAATTTGTTTCGGTACATTTTCAATTTTTCTATAAAATTGCAAATAGGGCCTAAGCAGTTAATGCTAGCAAAAAAGTACCTAAATAATTGATGTAGAATTAAATTGTCTATCAGAATTCGAAAACAGAATTTAAAAATTCCAACTTTTAATTTTGACCATAAAAAGAGAAATCTTTTGCCATTTTTTAATAAAATCTTTTCTTTAAAAATTTTTGTGCCATTTTGATGATTTTTCAATAATGATGCCACCTTGTAGAGAATTTTTCAAGGATTAAGATTATGTAGTTCTTTATTTTCTAGCCCTCTTAGTTGTCGAGATCCTTCAGAATTCGAAAACCGAATTTGCTGAATAAAGATTTTTAAACATTCATATTACCCGCCATTACTAGTTACCGCCTCTTTTATTTACATACCTCATCACCCTTTCTGCGATCCAAATACCAAAACCGAGTCCAAATTTTGTGTCATTTTGCCTCCCAGAGTCGACAAAATAAAGATTGAATATTAGGAGCGCAGAAAGTTGAGGAGGCTGATAAAGTTTTCGCGGTAACTAGTAATGTGCTGCCTCCAGTGGCGACGGACCGAAGCTCAAAATTTTCGGTTGTTGTAGTTTCTAATTGATAGATGGCACTAGCATGCACCTTTCAAAATAAATGGTTTAAGAAATCGTTAAATATGAATATGTGATCAGGTAGAAATAACAGAAATAATTTTAATTAGAAAAACTTAAAAATATTCTTTATTAAAGAAAACACACAAGCATAAATTATGGGAGTCAATTTGTGTAATAATCACAAAAGTTATTAAAGATAATGAAATTTAATAATAACAATCTGATGCAAGAATGGTTCTTCTACGATGTCAGACTCAGGTGCAAAATCCCTAAAACAAGCAAAAATTAGTCCTTCGAACATAAAAATTCAATTTTGGGGTCCAATTTGTGAGATAATCACAAAAGTTATTTAGGAAAATGATAAAGAAATTAATTACTTACAATCTGATGCAAGAATGGTGCTTCTACGATGTCAGACTCAGGTGCAAAATCCTAAAACAAGCAAAAATTAGTCTTTCGAACATAAAAATGCAATTTAATGGGTTAATTTGTGAGATAATCACAAAAGTTATTTAGGAAAATGATAAAGAAATTAAATACTTACAATCTGATGCAAGAATGGTCCTTCTACGATGTCAGACTCAATTGCAAAATCCCTAAAACAAGCAAAAATTAGTCTTTCGAACATAAAAATGCAATTTACAGGGTTAATTTGTGAGATAATCACAAAAGTTATTTAGGAAAATGATAAAGAAATTTAATACTTACAATCTGATGCAAGAATGGTCCTTCTACGATGTCAGACTCAGGTGCAAAATCCCTAAAACAAGCAAAAATTAGTCTTTCGAACATAAAAATGCAATTTAAAGGGTTTATTTGTGAGATAATCACAAAAGTTATTTAGGAAAATGATAAAAAATTAAATACTTACAATCTGATACAAGAATGGTGCTTCTACGATGTCAGACTCAGGTGCAAAATCCCTAAAACAAGCAAAAATTAGTCTTTCGAACATAAAAATGCAATTTACAGGGTTAATTTGTGAGATAATCACAAAAGTTATTTAGGAAAATGATAAAGAAATTAAATACTTACAATCTGATGCAAGAATGGTCCTTCTACGATGTCAGACTCAATTGCAAAATCCCTAAAACAAGCAAAAATTAGTCTTTCGAACATAAAAATGCAATTTACAGGGTTAATTTGTGAGATAATCACAAAAGTTATTTAGGAAAATGATAAAGAAATTAAATACTTACAATCTGATGCAAGAATGGTGCTTCTACGATGTCAGACTCAGGTGCAAAATCCTAAAACAAGCAAAAATTAGTCTTTCGAACATAAAAATGCAATTTAAAGGGTTTATTTGTGAGATAATCAAAAAGTTATTTAGGAAAATGATAAAGAAATTTAATACTTACAATCTGATGCAAGAATGGTCCTTCTATGATGTCAGACTCAGGTGCAAAATCCTAAAACCGTCAAAAATAAGTCCTTCGAACATAAAATGCAATTTTGGGGGTCTATTTGTACGATAATCACCAAAGTTATTTAGGAAAATAATAAAGAAATTAAATACTTACAATCTGATGTAAGAATGGTCCTTCTATGATGTCTGACTCAGGTGCAAAATCCCTAAAACCATAAAAAATAAGTCCTACTAACATAAAAATGCAATTTTGGGGGTCAATTTGTGAGATAGTCACAAATGTTGTTTAGGAAAATGATAAAGAAATTTAATACTTAAACTCTGATGCAAGAATGGTCCTTCTATGATGTCAGACTCAGGTGCAAAATCCCTAAAACCATCAAAAGTAAGTCCTTCGAACATAAAAATGCAATTTTGGGGGTCAATTTGTGAGATAATCACAAAAGTTATTAAGGAAATTGATAAAGAAATTTAATACTTACAATCTGATGCATAAATGGTCCTTCTATAATATCAGGCTCAGGTGCAAAATCCCTAAAACCATCAAAAATAAGTCCTTCGAACATAAAAATGCAATTTTGGGGGTCAATTTGTGAGATAATCACAAAAGTTATTTAGCAAAATGATAAAGAAATTTAATACTTACAATCTGATGCATAAATGGTCCTTCTACGATGTCAGACTCAGGTGCAAAATCCCTAAAGCCATCAAAAATAAGTCCTTTAAACATAAAAATGCAATTTTGTGGGGTCAATTTGTGAGATAATCACAAAAGTTATTTGTAAAGTGCGCAGCGCAGGTATAAATAATGGATTGAACCGGTAAGTGCGTTTAAGTACAAATGCGCCTTTTCATGCAAATTTTGGCGGATTGCCGGTCGAATTCCTGCAAGTAACAGATACCACCCGATAGAGAATTTAATTCCGCATCTCTAAACACCACACTGTAGTTAGTGAGCCGCCTAGATCGCACGTAAACCCGAAAAAATACAAACATTTTACGAGAAAGGGTGAAAAATTCACCCTTGTATGAAAATGTTTGCGGGTTGCAAGCCGAATTCCTGCAACAAACAAATACCACCCGACGGAGAATTTAATTCCGCATCTCTAAATGCCGCGCTGATGTTAGTGAGACTTAAAGTTCGCACGTAAACCTGAAAAAATTAAACAATTCGCAAGAAAGGGTGAAAAATTCACACTTTTATGCGCGGGTTCCTACGGTGCCCTGAACACAAGTCACTTTTACCGCTATCCTCGTCAGGTGTCCTGAATTGAGTCGCTTCTACCGCTAACAAATACCACCCGCCGGAGAATTTAATTCCGCATCTCTAAACACCACGCTAAAGTTAGTGAGCCGCCTAGATCGCGCGTAAACCCGAAAAAAATACAAACATTTCACGAGAAAGGGTGAAAAATTCACGGTTTTATGAAAATTTTCGCGGGTTACAGGCCGAATTCCTGCAACAAACAAATACCACCCAATGGAGAATTTAATTCCGCATCTCTAAACACCACGCTGAAGTTAGTGAACCGTCTAGATTGTGCGTAAACCCGAAAAAATACAAACATTTCACAAGAAATGGTGAAAAATTCACTCTTTTACGCGAATTTTCGCTCAGGTACTGTCACTTAAGTCGTATCGCTGCACGTGAGTTCACACGGCAAGAAGATTGGCCGAGGTAAACAAACAAACTGATGAAAACACAATGTGACGATTTGCGCATTTTAGCGACATCTTAGCTGAAATTGAAGAATGATATTTAATGACGCCATGACGCCACACAGACCTAGTCTCCACCAGTTTCTGACACAAAATTTATCACGGCCTTGGCCGCGTGGAAGTTAAAAAATAAATGTAATATACGGGTAGCAATTAATTCAATAAAGTCCAAAATTCAATAATTTTAAAATGTATTTCGAGTGATCGGAATCGACAAGACGATCAAGCAAGTATGTTGCAACGTAATAACTATGGAAAAACGAGTGAATTTTACAAGAATACAATTATTTATTCTCAAACTTACTAGAAAATGACACCAGGTTATATCCAGTTGCAATTCCCAGTATCGAATTAAGTCAATTGCCGTCGGACTACACACGCACAAACGAAGACACGAGTTTTATAATCATTTCACGCACAAACTATCGTTAGCACTTTACGCGTCGAAACTCATTATGCGTCGTCGATTACCGATAAGATTTAATGCAATTTATTGAAATGAAATGAAAACAAGGTGACGAACAGCGCGTAGGCAACAAGAGACTGATACGTCCGCGGCCAGTACTATTGCAATTCGCGCACAAGATCGTGTGGCATCGACGCGGTGGCTTTGCGCATCTATTGCTTGTACCTGCCGGGTTTATGCAGCAGGCACAGGGTCCTATTGTGAACTGTCGCATCCTTGCGTGCGGAGTTTCGGCATGCTCTATTGATGGTTCGCAGCTAGTTTCGTGCCGGTCTCTGCCGCTTATTTTAGCGAGCGAGCTTATATCATAGAGAATTGTCCGTAGATTAAGACTCCGTCATTCGTTCCTTATTATCTCTTTTAGTTTACGAGATATTTGCGATTGAATAAAATGGCCAAAATTGATAAATGTAACTTTTTGTACTTTTAGTCGCGTTTTTCGACCTTTACTGCAGGAAATATATTTATTTTATGCTTTTATCAGATAGAGAATTTTCTAGTCTTTCATAATCAACAATTCGTTGGTAGCTATTAGTTTTAGTTTGTGAGATATTAATTATCAAAAATCGTCGAAAAAAAGTATCAAGCACCCCCCCTTGACAATTTTTTTCTTAAGACCTAAAATTTCATCGCTCAGATTTCCCTTTAAACTATCCTATCTGATAGAGAATAGTCTGTAGATTAAGAGGCTGCGATCAGATCTTAATTATCTCTTTTAGTTTACGAGATATTCGCGATTGAATAAAATGGCTAAAAATTCGGATGTGATAAGAATTTGGAATTCTGATTGCGGATTCTGAATCAGCGGGTTTAAATACATGTGAAAGCATATAAACAAGTTCCTAGTTGGATTCTAATTGAGTTTGTTTTAAGTTTGTAAATGCAGCATCACGGGAGGTCGTCCACCATGCTTCAATTTGGAGCGTCTTCATTTGTTACTACCTGTCGGCAAGGCCCTGGCTATTTTGCAAGTACATAACTGCTGTGGCAGCCAACGTACAACGACTTAATCTTATCAATAGGCCTTGGGGTCGAGATACCTGACTGTGCAAGTACACCATAGCATTCGCCCGACCTGTATTTCTTTCATTGTAGTTTTCTTATTTATTTTTGTTTAAATTACTATATTGCTTGTACTATGTACTTTAAAAGGTAGATTTCACGTTTAAATGTTAAAGATTATGGTAAAATGAGCTATAAATGTAAAGTTCGGTTGTATATTATTAATTTTAGAAGTTAAATCTAAGAAATTATTATTTTTTTAGTCGGTTTTACATAAATGCAGTAATAATAACAATTATTAAACAGCAATAAGTAAGATAATATTTATAAAATATATATTTATTAAGTTTTTCAGTAACTGACGATGCCCTCGATCGTTATGTATGACCCAAAGAAACGTTATAAATCTATCACGTAAAAACTTAAATAAATATGTATATTGGTATCAATGGATTAAGCATTCTGCAAAGAAAATAAAATAATATTTCTCTCGCAAAAGTTATATATATGTGCGCATTTTAAATGTTGTAATTGCACCAATGAACAATAACAATATCATGTCATAAATCATACGGAGGGGAAGAGAAGATATAACCAGATTTTTGGTTATAAATTTTAATACAATGTCTCACGCAATGTGAAATAGATAGAAAGGAACGGATTGAAGATTCTCAATCTACGGGAAATACTCTATAAGATATGTTAGTAAAATGGGGATGATGAAAACCATAATTCATTAAGAAAAGTAGGCAAAATAAGAGGTATCAGTTACCTTTGCGCTCACAACTTTAATTCAACTTGTAAAGCAAACGAATATTTGTCCCTCGAAGTATTAAATAATGGCACAATAAATCCAAAAGGAATTCACAGCCGCCAGAAGACATCTAGCACTTGGCGATCACCACACATGGGAGTACAACATAAAACAATTTGTTTTTGAGTTCCACACGATAAAAATCAATTAGTTGTACACCGCAATCACTTATTATTAAATGTTAACAAAGTAAAATTAGGAAGAAACGTGAAGAATCGTTATGAAGATCGACTGACGAACAAAACAAACACGTGCTTCACCACAACGCTCGACCAAGACTAAAACTACTAAGCAAGATAAACAATTGATAGCCGGCGCATCGAAGGTGATACTAGCGTCAACAAGTATAAACGAGTATAAATCTGAAAACGAGAAAGTAAACACAAAGGATAAATGTGAACAAGAATATGAGAGTAAATTATTCTTTACTGCCTGATTTATTTACATTTATCATAAAAAATGCGATTGTAGGTAGGTAAAATAATAAATAAACCTGTAAAATAAAGAAGGTAAACACAAGTAAATTTGATGTTGCTTACTCTCAATCCATAAACTATTAAAGTGCAGAAACATGTTTCCGTAATTATTTATTGTTTTTACGCTGACAATTATTGCACGAAAGGTACGAGTATTTGGATAAATAAATGGAATTGAAATTCGTAGCCACTAAAAAGATCCCACAGCCGGCAGTCATACGCGCGCAAAAGCAGATTTCACACGGAATAAATTGTTAGCGTTTTTCTTATTAAAAATTAAATGGTTTCGAGTTTTAAATACAAGGACAGCGCAACATTGACTGAGTAAGAAAAATATAGATTGACCATACAGCGCGCGCCATCTAGTGTCAAAAATATTAACCAATTGATAACTGCAAGGATGGACTTTACCTTCGCCATCTAAGGTGCTATACAGGTAAAATAAGTCATTCGAGACACAAAACTAATTGATGCAAATAATACAGGTAGGATACAGGTCCTAAACCCTTGAAACGCAGGTCTAGGTTCTCCATCTGTACTCACTCTTCAGCTTTCATCTAAAAACACGCTAGTCTATTTTATCATACAATTTAAATAACAAAAGCATTCAATTTGTATCAATATTATTAAATTCTTCAGTACATTCATTGAAAATTATAAAACAATTCTCTCTCTCTCTCTCTTATCTTAATTTATTACATTAATCATTTTCATTACTATTACTTGTGTCAGTGGTAAGATTTTTATTTTGTTCAATGGCCAGTTTTACCTCCTCTGCCGCATCAGTCAACTCTAGTCCCTCCAAAATATACAAGAAATTTTCCAGCGTTGAATCGTCGTCCTCCTCAAACCAAACATTTAACAAATTGCGAATCTGCTGCGAAGGCTCGGGATTGTGCGATATTATAAAATCAATTTCGTCGGGGCGGTAGTCGAGTTTCTTCGCAAGGATCAGCCAATCATCACGGAGAGCTCTGCAAATATTATGAAACTGTGTTACGGTTAAAACGGACACCCTGAATGGGATTATATTGGGCACTTGAAATTCTCCGTCATTTTCCGGCGGGTCCTCCGACTGACGGAAAAGATCCTCCACTTCTTCTCCATCCTCGCCGACATTACTCGGAGTGGTGCTCTTAGCGGACGCGATGCGACGTATCATCATCTCGAGGAAAGCAGACAGTTCGCGTATGGGTAAATTATTATAAATAAAAAGTGAGTGGAGCGTCGAGCGAGCAAGCGCAACGCGCGCCACCCGTAGCCGTCTTTCAAGAGGTCTTCGCGTTTCAGCCTGTCATTAGAGACTTCCTCAATGGCGTCGGCAAAGAACTCATCCAAAGACGGAAGAAAATCTCGTTCTTTAGCTTTGCACGCCTCCAAATTATCCGGATTAAGGTTCCAAAGCTTAGTAAGTTCTGTATTACCCATGTGATACATTCCTTTGGAACGTGCTTCCTTCAGGATGTCTCCAAGCAGGCGACGAGGTGGTCGTGCGGTTGCCACTGGCTCAGTGCAGCTCATTGCTTGCGGTAATGCTTTTCGGAACTCAGGACATCCGTCATTTTTCCATGCATTCCAATGCTCCTCGCGTGACATTATTTTCGTGACAATATATTCGAATTCTTCGCCATCTGGCGGAGTTTCCTTTAGCAGGCTGTGTACTTTTTCGCTAGTCGACTGAATAAAAAATTTCTGCTCAGGGAGCAGTTCATACGCTGTCTTAAATCTAACAGTTGTTGTTAAGTATTGAAATAAAATCAGAAACTGCACCAGCACAAAACGCCTAAAGTTAACATCATACAATTGCAAGTCCAGTAGTTTCTGATTGGTCAAATACTTAGAAAAGTAATTATTGATACTTTCTTTATCATACGATGAGCTTTTATCTAAGTGTTCAAGTTTCAAACCTTCAAATGTGGAAACAATACTAGCCGCATGTGCACAAAATACCTTCCACTGCACTTTGTCATAACATTGATTTGGATTTCGAAAGAAATCCTGCAATGACCAGAACTTACAATACAAACTGTAATCAATAAAAATCTTGCCCTCTTGGGCATCCACATCATTCTCATCATCAGCATCCCCACATTCTGAGCCATATTCAGTAATATTCTCTAAATTGAACTCACTCACAACATTCAGGCCTGACCTCTCAGAGAATGGGAAAAACTTAGCCAAAAACAATAAGATTCTACCACAGAATATAGTAGAATTTGATTTAGACAGTCTCCGCAGCAGGTCATTGCACAATCTAAGCAAAATATTCTTACAACTAGAAAAGAACAAGTCCTCCTTCCAAATGTGTACATGATGCTCCACATAGCAGAACATTTTCTTGCAGTCATCAAGTGTTAACAGATCAAAGATGTCACTTAGCAGTGTGACTGGTGTTGAGCTAGTGAGTATGTCTTTTCTGCATGCTTCTATACTCAGTGTGATGAACTCTTCGATGACACCAACATTCATTTCAGCTGATATCAACTCAAGTTGAAAATCACGGAAAGCCTGGTCAAAGCAGGCTGTAACATCCTGATCTGTGTGTTGGAATGATTTGTACTTGCGTTCCAGAGGCTCAGTCGATTTCGCCTTGAGCGCTTTTTTAATCTCAACCTAAAATACACGTTGAACGATTGTGAGAAAAATTTCACAAAAAATTGCACGAAACTTACCTTCACCTCAACTCGAATTGAATCCAGCGTAGCAGCCATGGCGAGTTCTTCTAACTTGCAATCGAACTACTCACAAAATATATACCTACTACAATAAATAACAGTGTTTCGATATCATGAATTGTTGATTTATATGCAACACGAGATGTTATGCTACTGCTGCCCGATGCTATGCTAGGCTATCTACCAGCAATACTCGCGCATGTGCAGGCGAAGCAAGACTCATGCTGCCCTCTGAGGTAACGTTGTGCATCAACAGCGGAATCGTTTGACGTTTGTAGAAATTTCGCGACGTTTGTGAGATATCGCACGGGCTGGCACGGACGGTATTGTTCTGTCCTCAAGGTTCTCGACGCCAAACAGACGAATTGTGGTCTATCTCAACGTGCTCCAACGCAACGTATACTATTAGCTGCTAGCGGCGATGTCTCTCTTCGGAATGATGGGTTTCGGTGAAATGGAGGAAGATCCGTTCTTCGGGTGAGCATCTCGTCATTTTTTCGTTGTGATTTTGTGAACTTTTGACGTGCGCCATGCTTTTTCCAAACATTCTAAGTAGCTCACACGTTCACTGGCGATATGTTGCGCACGATAACTTCACATTGCTCAATATTGCCGTGTAAATTGCAGCTCTCACATGCGCACCGTGCGCCAGATGAACAATATGATGAACTCGTTGTTTGCGGACCCCTTCGGGATGATGACTCCAGCGTTTGACAATCGAGCACTGGTCCATCCGGGACACCATCGCAACAGCGTTGGAAACATTCACAACTCACTGATGTCCTATGGAGGCTTTCCGGATCCCATGCAGAACATTAACAGACTACTCACTGGTTCTCTGGATTCACTCGGGCCGTCACATTCGTCTTTCAGCTCTTCCTCCACTGTGGTCAGCATGACTTCTGGCCCTGATGGCAATCCACATGTAAGTAACTTACCTGAAACATTACTCTCATACAATTTTCAACCAAAGAAATAAATACATAATTCATGCATGAGGGATTCAAATGAACATATACAATGCTTGTAACCCGACACCACATTAAATAATGCATGCTAAATGCCAAGTAATCTAATAATAATAAGTATGAAACTTAAAACTCTGTATGCACTGGATTGATATTAATAAATAGACAATACTGAACTCGATACGTTTTAGGTGTATAAAGCAACATCGTCCACTCGAGTTGTGCCCGGCGGTGTCAAGGAGACGCAGAGCACAGTATGCGACTCCCGCACGGGCACGAAGAAGATGTCCATTGGGCATCACATTGGCGAGCGCGCTCACATCGTGGAACGCGAGCAAAACATGCGCAGCGGTGATCAGGAGGAGCGCCAGGATTTCATCAATCTCGAGGAAGAAGAGGCTGACGAATTCAATCGCGAGTGGGAGTCACGAACGCGCAGCCGATCCGATATCCCTCGCATTGGCGGTGGTGCGCGCATTCCGCGCCACAACTACGGCGCGGTGCCGGCGCTCACAGCCGGACCAAGGTGGGTGTACTCTCCCCGCAGGCATTGATTCACCAGATCGATTAATATTTCAATTCAGTTGTACGCGCACAGCCTGGATGATTCTGTAGCATTCTGCATTTACATTTGTTATCATTTCACAATCTCACCACCACATTACATTTACCGGCGATGCGGTGATTTTGTTTGAGTGCTCATTTTTTTGTTTTTGTTTATGTGCGTACATATTGCATGGTACTGTAGCCGCCGCAGTAGGGACAGAATGTCCGCCAGTGCGCCGTTGGCGCTGCCGCGACGCACCGTCCGCTCGTCGCCGTTGCTCGCGCTTCCGTCCAGCACGTCCAGGTAAATCGATGGGGTTTTCAAGGGAATGTTGCGAACATTTGCTTATTAACCAATATCAACGTATCATACGGTGGCGAAACATGTCGCCGGTAACACCCCCCACGTGCCTTGTGTGCTAACCGCATCATCGACATTATTCCCCCCCAGGATGATTCGAGGACAGTTTGTTTACTCATGCGTTGTACTTTTGCAGGTACTCACGCAAACATTAACTCGCACGTCTATCCCCCTCACATCTCTCTGTCGTTTGTCGTAACTTGTGTTTTCCGCGGCGGCGCAACCCGCAAAAACACAACTTGCACAAATCGCGATCTCCTAGGTTGTTCTTGTTCACTTAAACAAGTATGCGTACGAGTACGACAAGTAAGTTGATCTCTAACACACGAACTTCTGCCACACGCATCTAATCGTCTAACGTTCGCCTAATACTTTATACCTGTTGTATACTTTTCTCACCTCGAATGGTGTCGATGTTGCTCTCTGTTGTGTTGTTGTGGACGTTTTCCGGACTGCTGCCTCTCGCGGCCCCTTCGCCTCTCTGAATTACCTTACCTTAACTACTCAATGACTAACTCTTTGCGACGAATCGTGCAGATAACGATAATTCCGTTTGTTGCCAGTTCACTTATAGCTGTTTCTTGTGTGTGCTCGGAGTTGTATGACGGTGCGCTGACTTAAGTCAATATGTTTCTAGCACGATGGCCCAGGCGTCCCGGACACCGTACACGCCGCCTGGCTATGCACCACACACCAGGAAACACAAAACGAACATCAAGACGGTGTCCGGCTCACCGCCACCGCAGCACCAGCCGACGCACGACGACGAGTAGTGAAGCAGCCACCCGCATCCCTCTGGGCATCTCTTCTCACCGACGGCGACTCGTTGGCGTGTTGCTGCACTCTCTGATATTATATTATTCCGTTTAGGTTAGTTAACTACAATTTAACAACGCGCGCGATCACGGCGAATCAAAAACCGTAGCAGCAGAGGACAAGCGCGCGCGATTACAACAACAAAAAACGACAGACAAACACTGCGTTTGTCACTAGACTAATTTTACACATATTGCAGTTTTTTGTTGGATTTCATTTCATCTCGCGTAGAAACAACAGTTTGTATTATATGTGATTTAAAACAATGATTTTTATTATGAATTTGCTAGTGAACTCTCGCTAGTTCGACAACTCTAGTATTAATTCCGGTTTAGTTCGTGTGTTTTTCTTTCGTTCTTGAAGGCTAGTTATTTGCGGAGGAAGTATTCTTCCTCACTAAAACGTTCGAGGCAGAACAAACACAAACAAAACTAGCATAAACAAAACTAATTTCGTAGCATAAACGTGTATTGATTCTTTCACATTGCGCGGTAATCATCTACCAAGCTAAATAGTAATATAAGTACTATATATTTTAGAACAGATGCAGCGCTACGTATACTGGTAGCGCCATCCTGTTAAGTTACTGAAACAATTGCGAAGTAATTATTACATAGAACATTCGGAGGAGAATCTATTTTGATTTTGAAGCAAGGTTTATACTCAAATCATGCTTGTATTATATTTTTATGGCGACAAATGTTTGGAGATTAGCTTAGTACTATCGTACATCTTACAAGTAATTAGTATATTCAGTGATTAATGCGTTCGTCTCAATGTATTCTCGCGTATATTTTCGAACATTTCGTACCGCATTGTAGTTGAGCAAAAGAGTGAAAAATGTCAGGTTCAATTTATATAGCGAATGAAAACCATCGTTTTATTATTCAGCGTTGAACGAAAGAACAAAACAAAATTCTTTGTGTTGATTTGACGACAATGAATATGAATTTGAATCAATAAATAAATGTAACAATGATATCTACAATGATGTGATGATGAGTTGTTCTTTGTTTCCCACCACATTGAATCAACAATTGCAACAATCGGTGTTGAGTTATTCGCGAATTGTTATGTTTTCACGTGTTACTACTTGTTCCCCGACACAATAGATGATTAATGCTATAAATATACATGCATTCTATAAACCAAGTCATTCCATCTTGATGTTGACAAAATCAACGCAGGCGATTGTTGCAGTTAGTGTAAACAACAAAAATTCCATGCAACACAACACGTGTTTCAAGTTGCGACTTGTGACGTAGAAAAGAAATAAATATATTTGAATATAAATACATAAAAATGATTATCACACCACCCCCAACGTCATAGCACCCGTACTTTTCATAAAATCAGGATAACTACTCTCGATACCCATTTCTCTTGCCTGTTTCAAATGCGCCTTCCGCATCTTCTTGTGCCTCCTCTTGATGTACTTCTTGTTGAGTCGCAGTTGAATCTCGGTGAACGTCTTGCCTTTCGTCTCCGGCACACAGAAGATCACAAAGAAAACACCCAGCACACAACAAATCATGTACAGCAGAAATGTGTAATGCATTCCCATTGCGTTGCTCATCGGCTTGAAGAATTTTGATACTAGAAAACTGAGCGTGCTGCCGTAGAACGTGTTCACTGCGATAGCAATGCTCTTGATGTTGGTGGGGAAGATCTCACTGAGGACGACCACTGGTACTGTCGTCACGCCAATGTTGTTCATCACGAGGAACACGACGATTCCGGTCGTTGGCAGCCATGATATCGCATCCACGTTTGACCCGGCTTCGTTTTGCAGATAAAAATACGCGGCTTCTCCGGCATATGCTGCTGCACAACCCAAGGCGGAAACAATCAACAGGGGTTTCCTGCCGACTTTGTCCACGAGGAAAATTGCCACGAATGCTAAACATAAAATGCGCATTATTATAAAATGTCAGTCATCAAATTGAAATCACTTACCAGCAGGAATCTGAACAGCCCCAAAAATAATACTGGAATATTCTGGTGATATACTACTTCCACTGCTTGCGACAATTTGTTGCATGTAACTATCAATAGCGGAAACCCCACTGAATTGATTCAAACTCTTGATTCCTATCGAGATGATAAATGCCTGGCGGTATTCTTCATTACTGATGAATTCTCTAAACGTGCACTGATTCTGCATATCATTCTCCACTGTATCTTCAATTTCCAACAACTTTTTATCAATATATTCCGGTGTTGCGTTTAATGTCGCCAGTGTGACCAAAACATCCCTTGCTTCTTCTGTTTTCCCCTCAGCGACTAAATGATAAGGAGATTCTGGCATGAATGAAATCAGTACCAGAGAAAGCAAGGGTACCACCATACACACAAGGGACAAGGCAGTGTAAGAAATAAACGGTCCCACGGCAAGCACAATAAAAGATCCAAGAAGTTTCATTATCGAGGTGATAATCCCAAGTTTTCCTCGTAGGTCAACATCAGCCACCTCGCCGGAGTACATCGTAGTCGCTGAATATGCACAGCCAAAACCAAGCCCGCCGATTACCCTCGCCGCACAAATTACAATCGGTGACTGTGCGAAGATGATAATAATCCACGGATTAACATGAGTACTGAAGACGCCATTAGAGATCCTTTACGACCTAGTTTTGAATGGTCCACGCAACGGCAAGACAAGATGGCGGCGTTGCAAGTGACACAACCGACGCTAACCAGGATCCTTCTTCCTGTAATACAATAAAAAACATTTAATAATCAGTTCCATTATTTCCGGTTTATGAATTAACCTACATCGGTTAATGGCCTCCCAATGGGTGAATCATTCCCTTGCAAAATCGGCAGTGTTGGCGACGGCCACGCGCCGTACATCGAAACGGAAGTAATGGTCATGGTTGCTGAAAAACACAACAACTCAATGATTTATTCATCAATAATGTCCATTTGTAGCTTATCAGTGCGAAATGCTTGATTGCCACCAGTCAGTTCGTGTATTAACTTGTATCACATTGAAACAAAACATAAATATTTAAAATGATGTTCTGCGTGTTTTTTTGATAACATGACTGTTGACTAACCGTCGTGAGGAGTATATCGTCATGGCTTACCGATGCAAACGGTGACATACTGCATGTAACGTATATTTTGAAACATATTCCAGATCATGTTCACAACTACACTCAAAGTGTATAGTTAATACTCAAATTTCAAACCGAAATAGATAATTAAATACACTGTTTATCGTTCCAAATATCACTATTATTTTAAATACTATTAAATTTTAAAATTAACGTTTAAAATCTGAGATATTTTACGGAGGCGTCATTTTAAAGCTTTGAATTGTTACTGAGATCACGGAGATTAGTGAACACACGCGAGTTGCTTGTTTTTCTCGAAGATTTTGTTTGAAAATTTTGCTGGAGTTTTTAGATGTCAGCACCAGCACTCGAGCGAGCGCACTCAAGCAAAGCGTTCGCGCTTTTTGGATTTATATACCTGAATGCATACGTTTCCGAAAAGTAATTACTCTAACTATATGGAAGCTACTCGCGCCCCACCAATTGACTCAATTAGACAAGTGCTTTTCTGTAATTAATTCAACAGTGATAGTATTTAAATTATCTCAATAATATTCACAAGAACTTTACACACTCTCCAGTTTGGTTGAAGTTTGCTTGTAAACTGAACATTTTTCTGCACTACACTTTGACACGTTTTTTGTGTGTGCAAACACTATAAAAGTCACTATCGCCAACACTAACTTATTTGTTAAACACCTGATTGATATTCACAAGCATTGTGAAAACTTAATCCATTAAGTAATGTGAAATGTAATGCCAAATATCAGCAAACAGCAAACTCATCGGCACTGATTAGTAATTGTTTATTGCTACAACGCACAACTTCAGTCCGCGTAATGAAAGATGGCAATAATATTTTCACAACCGAATTAACAATAGTTGCCATAATACAATGGACAAATGTCACCAAGATTTGCAAACATGCCTTTGCAATTAATTGCATTAATTATTATTAATCGCTGCTTGTCAAATATTACTCAGTTATACTCTGGAAAATGTTGTGTGTTTGTTTTTGTTATTAAACAAGCGCATTTCGCAAGAGTGTTTTTTCTATGATTAATTTCCAGTTGAAAAAATGCGATGAATATTCAACTGCACTAATTTATCACCGGAGCATTACCTTACGAAATTAGCGGATCGTTTTTTACCATTTCTGATTCATGTGCAGTACGCAAGCACGTGTACGTCAATACATATAATACATGTAAATTCTCGAAAAGTTTAGCGTCAACATATTCAAAGTAATATCATATACGTGCTGTTTCAGACCATTTGGAGTACGATTCTGCGATATTTCACTGATAAATACTATTTTCCGCCAACTAACGTAATAATAAAGATAATTCCGAAATAATACGCCAAATATTAAACATTATACTTTCAAATAAAACGAACATTGTATTCGATAGCCATGCTAATCTAGAAATTATGATTTGGGACAATATGTTTTGAACGCTTTTTATTGCGCGCTTATCAACCATTGACGCGTGAAACAAATTCGGTTGTCGAAAAAACTGGAATTGAAAGCGAACAATGACGGAAATGCAATTTTATATCTATTAACCGTGTTTCTGGGTGCAACTTGCACACGACCCAAGGCAAACAATATTTCGAACATTCTCCTTGACATCCTTGTTGACCAAACTTAATAAAAACTACATCTTCAACACCAACAAATTTCAGCAAATCTGAATGAAACTGTCGCCGTTCAGTGTTAAAAATGTAGAATGTATTTATAGCACTTTCATGGTAAACAAATTTTCGTTTCACAACAAGCTACATTCATAAAAATTAAGATTAATTAACATTCCGTGGCCAGAATTTTTCAGCTTTGAACCCGTTTGTTATCAACACGCGCGTTTATCAATGCGAAAATGAAATAATTTTATTTGTTTACAATGGAAGTGTTTTTTTGTGCGGCGTGGTGGCATTGGGTAACATTTCGGTATGTACTTATTAAAGCTATAACTGTAACAAATATCACTTGAAAACTAATGAGTTTCCGCACCCGCTAGAATGAAAGTAACGCGTAAAACGTTATCAATGGAGAAGGTGAACTTACCTCTGGCGCCACACAAAACAGAATGAATCAACAAGAAACTTTTAATCAAAACAACACCTGAAATAAATGCTTGCAACACTTGGAGAAACTTTAGGAATAATTGTGGTTGATTTATAACTCTTATTTAATATCTTTTAGTATAGGCAATATATACAAATTATAAATGAATTCGAATAAACAAAGTAATATCATTTGAAAATTATTACGAAAAATACTTATATGTTACAACCTATCATCTATACTGCAGTGATATTGTATATAATTCTATATATTTGTGTAGGTATCACTCACACCTAAGAATTTGAATTGTTTTTTAAATTAACGCGAGATCAGTCTTACAATATTTATAACTCGATGCATATAAAAAAGTACAAAAATGATTGGCTTCTTCTTATATCGTAAGTAATTTAATAGTACTGGCGCAATTAATGTCTATTCTTTAATGACTAGGCCTCCCTACGTCTAAATTTACAGATACACCCAATAAATTGCAACACTCTGTGAGAACGAGAAATTAAGAGTCACTTCCACTGAAGAAAATAAATGTTATAAATGTATGTAACGTCGAAAAACAAAAAATAATAATCATCATCATAGATATTGATTACACGTATGTCGAAAATGTCTCGTACTTGTTCGTACATATTTTATCGATATAAACGTAATGTTAAACCATCGTAACGTTCCTACGCTTCTTCTCGCCGCTATTTACCGAACTCATAGATCCCTGTAAACTTGGATTGAAAGGCACTAACGTTTCATTCCGTTGCATTGATTGATAAATCTGATGCGCCCCTTGCTGGTTGGGGCTCTGGATGGGCTGATGCACGCCGTAGATGTTGTAATTCACCGGGTAGCCATTGG